GTACTGTCTGCTTCCGTCCCTCCTGGCATTGAAGCTGACCCCAGCAAGCTCGCTCACCACCCCTCCTACTCCCCATCTCCAAGCCCCCTGTGCACACACACACAAGCGGACACAGCACGTGCATGCATGCACACACACACTCGTGTGCATGCATACACATATGCACACATGCAGGCATGTATTTACACGTACACACACCCCTACACGTGTACACAGACACGCATCCTTGCTCATGTTCGTGCAGGAACACTGAGAAGGCCTGAATGCCCGGGAAGTCTGTCACCCTGGGTGTGCCTGGGCCTGGCGGTAAAAGAAAGAGGCCCCTCTCTGTCCACGTCAGGGACCTGGGCCACCCAGCCTCTCCCACATGCGCTCTCCCACCTGGGCCAGCCTGCCTCCCCTCACCCCCGACCCCAGCCCAGCCCTGGGGCTCCTTCTCCAGGTTTCCTCCCCAATCCCCACGGGGCCTCTCAGAGACCTTCACACTTTACGGATCACTGAAAAGGGAAGTGCAGCTCCTTCCTTCCCTAACATGTTTCTGTTGGAGCCTATCCACCTGGCAAACACCCGCTGGCCGTGTCAGGTCCGCAGAGGCCCCACCTCCTCTGGCAGGCCCCTGGCACCCAGGGCCCGAAGAGGGTGGCTTGGAAACACTCACCCCAGGTCAGGGTGCTGTCTGCAGCCAAACTGAGGCCCAGGGATTCCAGAACCACAGTGCCCTCCAACAAGCAAAACAGACTCCCATGCTGGTCGGCAGCACAGCCATCACACCACACCGGGGGCCAGGACAAGGGCTCTTCCTGGCTGGTGGCCATCACTTGCTTTTTTGATGCCTCTTTCCTCCCCTGCCTGCCCCTGACCCACATCACCCCTGGCAGGTGGACACCATCACACGTCGGTCCTCTGGGCCTGTCGAACCCTGTTCTCCCAGCTCAGCTGGCCTGTTCCTTTGAGGGAGAAACTCTCTCACGAAGGGCTGCCTTATGTCCCTCCTTCCACGTCCGTGAGGGCCTGCAACCTACCCGCACCCACTAGAACCCACCACCTATGCTCTCGTAACCATCCCCTGGACCACCTTTACTGAAATTCCCACTTGTCCTCCTCTGTGGGCACCGTGCCAGCACCTGCCACACTCCCCACACAGCAAGCACTCAACAAAACTGAGGGAACAAAGCCGGGCGTTTCTGCCCCACCCCAGTGTGCACGTTCCCGAATCCTGGAGCAAACCAGGACAGCTTCCTCCCAGCCTCAATGCCACCCCATGACCGTGGCCATAAAAACACGTCTCATGTCCAACAGACTGTGCTTTGCTTTTTGAAAGAATAGTCAATCCTCGATTCTACTTACCTTCTTGCTGGGTAGTGCAGGAAATGTTATCTACACGATGCTTTGCACAAGAAGTAACCCCAAGACAACTGGTAACTCCTCTCGTGGAGGCCTGTTGGAGGCTCCGCCAAAATAATACATATCACGAAGCCAAGCAAACTCCCTTTTCTCCGTTCACGTTTATTTAGCTTCGCAACACACGCAGAGCAGCACGGCTGAGGACCTGGGTCAGTGGACCTCGGTCAGTTGCCCGCTTCCTGCCCCTGGTGGGATTTCAGAGCAGGCTCTGCCCTGTTGACATGGGACCCCACCTAGGACTCCTAGCCTAAGTGGAGGCAATACTTCCCGACCATCCTCGGTGTCCGTTCTGGGGAAACTAGTAAGACTGCTGTCGTCGAAAAGCGCAAACGCGTTTCCTAAAAGCTCCGTCACAGGCTTTAGGAGTCGCACACGGCGTTCTAACGACTGCCACCGGCTGAACCAGCTGTCACAGGCTTGCGCGCGCTTTCAGACCTCCACCAAACCCGGCTACGAGGGGCCGCGGCCCGCCCTGTACAGATGGCACAGAGCGCACGTCGCCGACACCGGCTCCACCGACCCCCGACAGCGGCATCCGAGGGGCCCGGCGGTGTGGACACCGGGGCCAGGCCGGAAGCCCCCGTCGGCCCGCGCTCCGCCTTCCCGCCGCCCCGGGGCCGGGCATCTGCCGTCACCTCCCGGGGCCCTCACTCACCGGCCTCCCTCCTCCTCGTCCAGGATCCGCCGAGCGCCGCCCGAGGGCCCGCGACGCCTTCCCCGGGCCTCCGCTA